TATATATATATATATATATATATATATATATATATATATATATATATATATATATATATATATATATATATATATATATAAATTAATTAATTAAATAAGATTTCTTTAGCTGTATTTCAGTTACCAAAAACAATTTCAATAGTTTCTTTTTTCTACAAGTTTTTAGGTAAACAACAAATTGAAAATGATTATTTAACAAAACTACATAATTAAAAAATAATTTTGCATGTAGGAAAAATACAAAATGTGTCTAAAACTCTTGCGAAAATCTGAGAAATTGTGACCTTACAGATTTATCATCATGAATTCCTGTACATCAGTAACATCAGACAACAGTAATATCACAATTGCTGTCTTCAGGCCTGCCGGAGCTTGACCTTTAACCTGCGGCTCTTTCGGTCCATCTTATCAGGGATAACGGCACACAATCGCGGCGCTTTATCTTTCAAATGTATATTTCATGGGTTTATTCTCTTCCTCAGTGCTGGAAGTGTTCAAGCTCTCGGCAGGAGAGATAAATAACTCACACCAGCAGCAAAACAGCATGTGTTTCACATTAAACCTCGCAATCTGCAACCCTAAATCTCATTTGCATAGCACATATCAAGCTTGAAAGTAATGAAATATATATACTATATAAAAAAAAAAAAAAAAAAATTAAATAAAACTGTATTTAAAAATGGAATAAAACTGAGTTAAATAAATATTTTGAAATTATATAATCTTTTAAAAATCTAAAATACACATATAAAAATATAAAAATATATAAAAATATAATAACAAAACGTAATGTAGTATAAAAATCCAATAGAAATTCAAAGTTAACAAGAAAAAAGAGCTAATAAAATATTAATTTTATTAAAACAAACAAATATAAATCAAATATTTAATAAATTAAAATTTATTTAATAAATATATCTCAAACAAAAAAGAAAATATTTACATTTCATAGGTAAATTGTTAGAAAATGTATGAAAATGATTTTATTTTTAATAAAAAACTAAAATGCAAAATAATAAATAATAAAATAAATATTTAAAAACATAATAAAATAAATTAAACAATTCATTAATATTGAAAATATATATTAAAATAGAAAATGCAATAAAAATATGTAACATAAATACATGATTTTATTATTTTTTTAATAATATATAAAAGGATCCCAAATCAATCACATTCTAGGTAAAGCAGATGAATTATTATTTGTAAAAGCGTGATGCAGTGCAAGTCACATGCAAGAATCAGTGATGTTGGAAACACGTCTTCAAACAACATTAAATGAACACTGTATGTAAAAGACACCACTAGTGTGAGTGAAATGGAGATATTTTGGGAAGAAGCGGACGGGTTCGTACCTCTGCTCAGGGATGAAGGAGAAGGTTTTTTGGGCATTTCGCTGAAGACGTTTCCTTCCAGAGGAGAGGATTTACAGTCCTTCTTCTCTGCGGGAGTGGGAACACCGGCCTCCATTCTGACCTGAAACACACAGAGAGAGAGAGAGACGTCAGCTGAAATATCCAGAAAATAACTCAACAAATTTTTTTTTAAATAAATAAATAAATCAGAAGTTTTAAATAAGTTAAGACAAATATAAAGAAATAAAATGCAACAAAATTTTCAAGAATAAGTGATAAATTTTTTACAAGTAGACAATAAATAAAAAAATGTGAAAAATAAATAAATAATTTAGAGAATAAAGTCATTGTCAAAAAAAAAACAAAAAACTCTAGCTCTATTTTAATGATCTAAGCGCAAAGTCTAAAGCTCATGGCGCTTAAGTATTAAGGTCGTGTCTGAATCCACTTTTGCTATTTTAAGAACGGAAAAATACGCTCTGTGCCCTGGCGCATGGTGTAATAGGGACGTGCTTATTCTCTTAATGACTTCTGGGTGTGTTTTGAGCATAACCTGCAATAAACCAATCAGAGTCTTGTCTCTCATTCCCTTTAAGAGTCAGTTGTGTCGCGTTATGGCGCATTGGCTATTTACATGGCGGACTTTGTAAGTGTAAAAACTGAACGCTTAACTAGAGAGAAAACAGTTAAACAGAGCATCTGCAGAAATACCTCTTTAAATTTTGAGAATAAAGTCATTAAGTTTCCAGGAAAACTAAAAACCAAAACCAACTCAAACCATTTAAGTTCAAAAACTAATCCTAATGAGTACTGTAAACTTAATCCAATAAAGTAATCAGGTAATAATTAACTAATTTCCTTCAAAACTGAGTTCAAAACTCTTTTTAAATGAGTAGAATTAACTTTTAGGCAATTTGTCGATGCCTATAGCTTAGTGGTATTGCGCGCTGACATATACCACAGATGTGCTCGCGGCGACCAGCGTTCGATTCCCAGCTCGAAGTCCTTTGGCAACCCTTCTCCCTCTCTCTGCTCCCAATGCTTTCCTGTCTGAAATCTCTACTGTCCTACCATAACAAAAGGGGGAAAACCCCTAAAAATGTTGAGTTAACTACACTCATTTCATTTGATAAAGTTAATTGTTGGGTTTTACGAATTTTGAGATCTTGGAAAAGTCACCGTTTCCAAAAAACTTCAAGATTAAAGTCATTGTTTCATGAAAAAACTCTTAATTTTAAGAATAAAGCCATTATGTATCCAAAAAGTCTTTGAATTTCAAGAATAAAGTCACAGTTTCCAGAAAAACTCTTTTAATTTCGAGAATAAAGTCATTGTTTTAAGAAAAACTTGTAACAAAGTTGTTATATTTCAAGAAAAACCCTTAGAATTTTGAGAATAAAGTGGTTATGTCTGATGTAAAACTCTGACTTTTGAGAATAAAGTGGTTCTGTTTCAAGAAAAACTCCTCCAATTTGGATAATAAAGTTTTGTTTCTAGAAAAAAACAGCTTAAAGCATCCCGCAGCTCCTAAGAGTAAAGGCTGATCTGCAGCACTAATGAATGAAGTGATCTGGAGCTGATAGAGCAGATCTGTCGAGTCACTGGAGCGTCTCGCTTTTTAAGGCAAAATAAGCCGATTACAGGAGACTCGCTGGACCAACAGCGTCTGTTTCCGCTTTCCTTCGCCAACACTGATGCCCACGCTGGCACTGACACACACACACACACACACACACGCTGACATCATGACTGGTCACGTTTTACACGGCGCTGGCCTGACCCGGCGTTCAACTTTACGTTCATCATGAGCTGAAAACACCATCAGTCTTTCTCTGTTCATCTTCTGGATGGATCAAAAATATTAAATATGGAATATTATTACAATTATGCTGGAGAAAAGAATGCTACAGACAAAATATTACATGATGAGTCATTGTGAAAGTGAAGATAAATGCTCAAAGGTTTGGAAGGATTAAAGGAACAGTTTATTATTATTATTATTATTATTATTATTATTATTATTATTATTATTATTATTATTATTAGTAATATTATTATTTAATTGTTATTATTATCATTAATATTATTAATACTATTATATAGTTATTATTACTATTATTATTATTATTATTACTTATTAATTATTATTATTGTTATTTAATTATTATTATCATTTAATTATTATTTTATTATTAATATTATCTAATTATTTTTATTTATTTATTATTATTGTTATTTAATTATTATAATTATTATTTGATTATTAAGTATTATTATTATTTGATTATTATTAATATTATTATTAATTATTATTATTATTTGATTATTATTGGTATTTAATTATTATTATTGCTTAATTATTATGATTATTATTTAATTATTGTTATTATTTAATTATTATTGTCGTTTAATTATTTTTCGTTTAATTATTTATTATTTTGTGTGTGTGTGTGTGTGTGTGTGTGTGTGTGTGTGTGTGTGTATGCATATTTGTATATGCATGCGCATGTGTGCCTATGCATGCTTGTCTGTATATGCGTGTGCATGTGTGTATGTGTTTGTGTGCATGTGAGTATGTCTATGTGGGAATTTGTTTATGCATGCATGCATATGAGCGTGTGTGTGTGTGTGTATGTACAGTATGTGTGTGCATGCATGGATGTGTATGAGTGTGCGTGTAAACACGCAGGTCTGTGTGTGTGTGTGTGTATGCATGAATGTATGGATGTGTATGGGTGTGCGTGTATGCATGCATGCATGCATGCGTGCGTGCGTGCGTGTGTGTGTGTGTATGTATGAGTGTGCATGTATGCATGTGTGTGTTAAGACGTCCCCTGTGGAGTTGAGCGACTCGTGTTTCTCCAAAGGATCTGCATGAAGGATAAACTGAAGTCAGAGAGCAGAGCGACAGATGGAGACGCTAGCGAACGCAAACCACGAAACCACAGGCCCTCGCAGAACCCGCAGACACACACACACACACCCTGATCTGACCCCGGGGCCCACCAGGAGACGCACAACACTTTACACACACCAACACAAACCCTGCACTAACCCCAAGGCCCATCAGGAGATGCACAAAACTACACACACACACACACACATCAACACACAGCAAAGTACGACAGTCAGTCAATGTTATTTATACAGCACATTTACCACAGCAAAGACGGATAAAGTGCTGAACAGACGCACAAATCAAGACTGATCACTCATCTGTTTAGCTGTGCCTTTACTGAATGAGCACTGTGCTACGGCCAACAGATCGCACTATTATGTCTTTCTTTTCTTTTGCATTCCTCTGTTTTAAATACATTTTAATCTGTTTTATTTGTTGTTGTTTTTAATAAATACACTACCTGACAAAAGTCTTGGTAACTCACTGATTTTCCATAAAAAAATTAGTTGATTCAACTAATAGACAGTTCACTTGACTCCCGGCTCTTGGTTTACCCTGCGCATGCGCACGATGCTCCGGGGTCAACACAGAAGGCATTTGAAGCATGTGAAGGGGCCATTTTCTCCCCTTCAGAGGTGAGTAAGTTAAGGCCTTTTAAAAACGTTTTAAAAACGTTTTTATTGTCTCAATGTAATTTGAAGTATTGCCGAAGAAGTTAGCAGTTGTCAAAAATCAAACTTTATTATAATTTTGCCCCAAAATGTGGATGAAAAAGGTCATTAACGGCCTCTGTCACCTGTTCCTTTGAGCACAACATTACCCGTCAACCCTCCCGCTTTTTCCGGAATGCTCCCATATTTTACAGTTTTATCTCGATATCATCCTGTAAAGGTATTTTCCCGTATTTCTCCGGTATTTTCAGTCTCTCTCTGAAGGGTGGCAAACATTTAAGAGCCGATCCTCCCTATACGCAACCCATACCGCCGAACCACCAGGGGCCGCCCCTTGCTCTTAAATGCGAGTCTGTTCTGTGCTTTTGCTCTGTTTAGGCAGGAAAACACTTTGAAATAAATAAAAAAGGTGTGATTTCCTTCATTTTCATTACAGGTGCTGTCGCTTCTTCATATGCAGTCCTCAAAACAGTCATATAATGGTGCATGACTCTCAGCTGACACACTTAGTGATAAACAGATGCTGTTTACCAAACGTGATTTTAAACAGACATAAGCACATATCATTTGGAGTGTCAGATTTTTCTGATGAATCATCTGTTGATCTGCATCCCAATCATCACTAATACTGCAGAAAACCTACTGGAACCAGCATGGAGCCAAGAATCTCACAGAAGTCAGTCAAGTTTGGTGAAGGAGAAATCATGGTTTGGGGTTCCAAAGAACTTCAACTCTGAAAACTGGACTGACACACTTTCAATCTACTAGAACTTTTTTTGTTCAGCTACTTTGACACAATCTACATGGTAAAAGCGCTAGAGAAATAATGAAAGATGACTGAGGGAGAGGAGTTATCTCTGAAGCAGGATTCCTCATGACCATACCTCAAGGAGTACATTAAGATGTATTAACATTAATTCTGATGATGTGCTTTTGTTAAAGCTGATTTGAGTTTTAAATGTGTTTTGTTAGTTGAGTTGATTTTAACTTAGTTTGTTCGGCAAATGTGCACCACATACAAAACATATGTTGGTAATTTATAGTAAATACTACAATGTTTAAGAACTACACAATAGCCAAGCACTCAAATTGATCTGTTATGGTACTTTTACTATGAAGTATACTGTAGTAAAGGCTAACGTGGTTACTATGGTATTTACTATGGTAATTACTATTAGTTCACGATAGTTACTAAAGATACCACATTATGTAGTATAATTCAGTCATGAAGAGTTGTAAATATATGTACAATATAATGTGTATTCCTAAATATTTCTCTTTACTATAAATTACTATAGTATTTTAAATGTACAACACCTGGTTATTTGGATTTTTTTGTTTTTGCTGTTATATATATAAATAAATAAATAAATAAATAAATAAATAAATAAATAAATAAATAAATAAATAGACAAATAAATAAATAAATAAATAAATAAATAGATAGACATAGACAAATAAGTTAATAAATAAATACATAGACAAATAAATAAATAAATAAATAGACAAATAAATAAATAAATAAATAGACAAATAAATAAATAAATAGAC